GGGGAATGTGGGTATAGTTTTCCAGGCTACTTCCTGCAGTTTGGGGATGCTGATAATCTTATGGGGAACTAAAGAAAATTTAGGATTATGGTCAAGTCCTGACTAGAATATTCTGTGAGGCTTGATCATGTCAGCCAGCAATCTTGTGGCTGTTCTGGATGTAGAATTCAGAGGGAACTCCTACAGAGGTCCTCTGAAATGGTGCATCATCTGGGCCATTCGCTCCTATCAGGGATTTCTTCAAGGGGGTCTTCCTTGATCAAACCTGATTTTTCTTAACCCAGAATGAATCTACAGTGCCTCATTTCCTGTGGAAACAAAAGCAAACCCTCTTCTCCAAAGTAACATATCTTTTGACTTAAATTTTGAAGTCAAGGCATTTTCAAAATATTTATGTTGGATTAATCCAGCAGCATTTACAATCAAATGTCTTTTAGTAGCTGTTGCTCCTTCCTCAGCCATCAAACAATTCAAAGACAACACAATAACATACAGTATTCAGACTCTCTGTGTATTTTCCATCTTTATGTGATTTTGTTATAAACTCTATTTCTTTTATTTTTAATTTTTGTTTCTTTGAGACAGGGTTTCTCTGTGTATCTTTGGCTGACCTTGAACTCACAGAGATCCTCCTGCCTCTGCCTCCCAAGTGCTGGGATTAAAGGTGTGTGCTACCACACCCAACCACCCCATTTCTTCCTTGTTAAGGACTTTATCCTTTTTCTTTTCTCTCCCAAGCCTACATATATTTTTAAACACACTGTAAACTGTATAGAGGTTTTTTTCTCTGAATCTATCATTACTGTATTTCTCTCTTTTTCTGATCCTGTGAGTCCTTAATTTGCTAAATGACATGGTTAGGATTAAAGCCGCAGCTTTCATGGCTAGACCCACCGCATTCCTTAGCTTTCTAAGAATCTAGCTTCATGGTAGAGGTACTGGCAGGAGCCATGTTTATGGCCACAACTCTGTGGAGTTTCAAGGTCCCTGCTATCACAATAAGCCTACTGTCAGCTATTCATAAACACCATTAAAGTGTTTGGTGGCAGGGCCTCTTAAAAGAGCTGCAAGGTTTTTGCAGGTAAAGCTGAGTCAGGAAGCCTCTCGTAAACAAGACATACTAGCCTCTACAAACAGAGCCCACCTGAGAAAATGCTGCTACCAAGAAGCTGTGCTTAACTCTGTTCCTTTGTGTCTAGAATTACTTCCCAAACTCCCTCAGGTTTTATATGGATGTAGTTGTCCATGTTGGCGCCATTTATTGACAGTTTTTTTTTTATGTCAGTGGTTTTAGTGTGCTCTCTTTCCCTTTAGCTTCAGTAACTGACAATATTTAAAGTCTGACTGTTCCTCAGAGATTCTGGGGTAAAGAGGGCAATGAGGAATAGTGTTTTCAACAAGCCCACAAAGGATGCACACAGAAGCAAAATAAGTTATTGAAGCAAATCACTGAGAATTTAAGAGTACTTGTTACTACAGCATAATGCAGACAATATATCCTGTTTAATGTAGAATATAAGTACCAAATATAGAGCACTTATATTAAGCAAAGAAGAACAGATTCCTACAAATGAAAGATGGAAGAATAGCCAAAGCATTGCAGATTTTGGCCCCTTTTGCCTCTTCCTAGTTTGGGAAAGCTACTTTGATAAAAATCTTCAGAGCACCATAGAATTTCTGAAAGCCAAAGCAGTCAGGTGGAGCCAGTGCTGCTGCAGTGGGCAGCCCCACAGCTCCGGCAAACCCTTTATTCTGCCCTCCTTGTCGAGAGCCAATGCTGAGGAAAACTGGAATCCTGGTCCACTACCTCTCACCAGCAGCCACGTGAAGACACAGTACCAGAACAAGGTCTGTATGTGAAGACCAGGGCCCATTGCTAGCAAGGTTCTATCAGTCCAACTGTTGGCAGTCATCACAGGGAATCTCTTTCTAAGGATGCATTTAGTCCTGCCCCAGTTTCTTGTATACTGCTGCTCTCATAAACACTTCGGGCATCTGAACTTTGAGCAGGCTTCACCTTGCTCTGTGAGCTGTGTGGGCAATCCTCTACAGATCTAGATTTGGGAACTCCATCAATTTGCTTCTTTTATCAATTTTACATCCATGAACACCACAGTGCAAAGTGCCAAGCTATGCCTTATATAATAGTGCTAAGTCAAGGATGGGGGAGGGGTAGACAACAAACACCAGGCTTTGTTTACTGTAAAATGCCCGTCTTGTGTATTTCTCACGAAGGGACCTTTTATCTGCCAACACATTTTAGACTGGCTTGTAACTCCCCATCAATGTCTACCACATTTTCATAGAGACTCTGTATTAGTTACCTTTCATTGCTTTGACCAAAGTACCTGATTAAAACAAATCAAGGCAGGAAGGATTCATTTGGGCTCCCAGTTTCACAGGCTCAGTTCACAGAAGGCTGGCCCCATGAGCTTGGGCAAACATGATGGCTGAAGGAGCACGTGACAGAGGAAGTTCGCCACTTTGTGTGGAACGGGAATCAGAGCAAGCAACAGGAAGGGATGAAGGATAATATATTAAAGACCCCACACCTAATGACATACTTATTTCCACTAGGTCCACCTCCAAATTTTCATAACACCACAAAACAGGGCCTGTAACTGGGGGACAACATTTTAGGACGGGACAGGACAAGCAGGGAGAGAGCCACTTGTTTCTTCTCGACTGCTTAGCCCTGAAGTAATCACACAAAACTGTATTAATGAAATCACTGCTTGGTCCATTAGCTCTAGCTTCTTATTGGCTAACTCCTACATTTTAATTTAACCCATCTCCATTAATCTGTGCATCACCACGAGGTCGTGGCCTACCAGCAAAGTTTCAGCACATCTGTCTCTGGCAGGGGCTCCATGGCTTCTCCCTGACTCCACCCTTCTTATATTTTTGGTTGTGAGCCTAGCCTTTAACGGCTGAGCCATCCCTCCAGGCCTCCACCCTTCTTTCTCACATCATTCAGTTTAGTTTTCCCCACCGAGCCCTGTTCTTCTGCCCTATCACAAGCCAAGACAGTTTCTTTATCCATTAGCCAAAAAAAAAAAGCAACACATAGACAGAAGGGCCTCCTACATTACCACAAGAAAACCATATCAAAACTGTAACAATATCCTTAAAAATAGTACTATGCAAACAACCCATATTTGATTATCATCAGTTCCTAACACTGGTTCCCTTAATGTTCAGTTATTTCATTAAGAGTATTTAACAGGTTTCCCACAGTGAACTTATTAGTGAGACTGGACAACATACTGCCATGTTTTTCTGCCCAGTGACATCGGCATGCCACTGACAAATGAGGCAGCAGAGACATCCTTCTGTTGGAATTCTTGTTCCTGGTAAGCTCTCTCTAATGAATAGTAGCCAACAAGAATTTCTCTATCACTACACTGACCAAATATCATCATTTTGACTTGCAACAATTCAAGGTTTCTTGATGTTGATGCGTCTGATACTTGGACCATATGGTTCTTTGTTGTCGGTACCATCTTCTGCACTGTAGCAGAGATAGTAGATCTCACCTCCTCCTCTACCTGTAACAGTGAAAGTTGTCTCTCAACATTGCCAAATGATGAGTGTGACAAGCATCCTGCTAGATCTCCAGCTCCACAGGAGCACGCACTGATGACAGGGTAAGTACTAGGACCAAATGTCCATCTGACAGATATTCTTGACATGGAAACTGACACAGAACTTCCCCTGAGATCCCACTGGCAAACAGATCAAAGAACTCTGTGTAGAAGTCAAGAGGTTAGACTGATTCTCAAGAGAAAGAAAACAACTGAATCTTGACTTTTTTACTTATTTTCCCCCATAGACTTCGCTACTAACTTCTTTTCACTTCTGCCCTTCTAAAGCAAGCATGACTGAACTGATGTAACTTATGTGTTTTATCTTCCCAGTCAGGTTTAACAGCAGCAGTTACTGACCTCTCACTAGGTCTGCTTTGTATTCCCGCCCACTCACATTTAACGTAGCTATGCCCTCAGATTGGTGGCACTATGAGATGCTGTATTTTCAGAGGTCACTTTAGCTTGCCTTGCCCTAGTGTGGAAGGCAGAAGCCCAGAGTTAAAGACTGATCTGTACATACAACCTGACCGGCAAATACAACACTCATCAAAATGGCACCATATGCTAATCCTTGGAGAAAAGAAGTGATTTTATCTTTAATGCCAACTATTAATATACACAACGTACACACATACACACACACTCACATACACACATCTAAAAATAGTCCCATAAACTGTGGAGATTATATACTATGAATATTTCATGCCAAAAGTACGTTCCGTATGAATCAAAGATGAAGCATAACAAAGAAAACTTAAGAGTTGTATGAAAACATTTGGAGGACAGTATTTAATAAAACTGGGATGAAGATTTCTTCATTCAATGTCTAAAGTTCACAAATCTTATGAGAGACTTTTCATAGCATTTTATTTCTAGAAATTTATCTTTTAGCTATATTTACATATGTGCACATGTACATACATCATAACACACAAGACGATCCAGCAACACGAACAAGAGTCTGAAATGCTGTGAATGCTGGGAATGCTATGGAAGTGACGAAGATTCACTGAACACATTATGAGAGGGAAAATGACCAGGAGAGGTGTAAAGATGCTGGTATAAGATAACAATAAGGAAAAGATAAAGATGCTGGTATGTAGTTAGGTGAAACAGGTTAAGAAAGCCTGTATGCAATGCCCTTTCTTCATTAACAAGAAGAAAGGGGCTACTAAGAGATATTTCTCACCTCTATGCCTATACTGTAACTACTATGAAGAAGGGACAACTTGTACCATTCTCTTTGGAAAGGAAGAACTCTGCTGTCATTGTGTATCCTGTGACACAGAAATTTCTTCTTATGGTCTACACTGAGTGTAACACACACAACCCCAAGAGAACATAGCTCAAAAGAGTGCATCACAACAGAATAGCAGATATCCTATTTGTATGTAAACAGAGAATTCTTACCTTTCTCTGCAAAATTTGAGGGAATGTAGTATGGCAGGCCTTTTCTGACGTAAATTCCACAAGTGTAAGGTGTCATCAGCCAAGGCACTCACGAGGGCTCCCTTGAAAACAGAGTGTATCTTATATACAACAATGGATTTTATCTGGAACAATGTCACAACCGTGTTTCCAAAGAGCTGCCAAAATAGCTTCAGTATGAAGCCCTTTTGCAGTTATAAAAATATTTGTCTCATCCAAATTCTCACCAGCAGATTTAGAAAAGTATGTTGTTACACACATACACACACACACACACACACACACACATACACATATTAATTTTTTAACTTCTATGGTGATTTAACACCTTATAATCCAAAGTATCCTAGGATCTGGTGTGAGGGTTAAAATCTCTAAAATTATTAGTTATCAGACTGCAAGTCATCTGGTCATTAGTATAAATACTTGCTTTACTAAAAACAAAATATAAAATAAAGGAATCTTATTTTATCTATGTACATCAAACACAAATGGAAGTCCTTTATTTAGATTATAGCAACAAAATAATGACACTATTTAGCCCCGAACAATCGAACCCCCTGATTAACTGGTCACGTTAAAACGCCCTGTTAGTTTATACTATCACTCATGGGTAAGACAGTGAGTGGCCCGAGAGCCACACAAATGGCTCGGTCTTGCTCAGGTCCCACAAATCAGAATTTTCAGAGCAAGGACCTCTGCTTGTGCATTTCCATTAAAGCCTCAGAGAAGACAGCGATACATAAAAAGGAAGAGCAATATGTTGATTAAGGGGTTGACTTAGTAACCTGTCTAAACTTATTAAAATACCTTTGTCAACTGAGCCATCTTGCTGGCCCATCTTTCATACGTATTTTGGGACTTATTCCATAGACCCTAAGCATCTGGAGCCAAAAAATGTCTTTAGACTATCCTCAAATTTAAAGAAAGTGGAGCCTTTCTCAAGCAGTCTCCTTGTAAGTCGTCTCCTATATTGTAAAATGGTATTTTCCCTAGCTCCTTTAACACTTCGTTTTCAGAAGCAAAACCAATAAGCAACACAACACACTTTTGATTAGAAACTGCTTCCCGGGATATGTTCTGAAGCGCTGGGTTAGAGGTCATTCTCTTACCTATAATGTACTCTGTACTTAACACTATCTCAATATGAACTTTTTGATGTTATGTAACTTTCAAAGTCCTTGAAATAATAATTAAAATATACCATCAGGAATCAAAAATACCTACCCACACAGTTTACTTGCAACATTATTCCAAGAAAACATATTGGGTGACTATCTGTGGTAACACCTTAATATGAATAATGACTGCCTCTGACTCACAAGAAATTACATTTTTGTTCAAATATTTAAATCTGAGTATATGTAAGCAATCTGAAAAACCAGACATGTTCTAATTTCAGCTCGACGTAGGAGGAATAAACACAAGTCACTAACCTCATTAATCAAGAACTGGAGTTGAATTACTGCCGCCCCACTGTCGTGTTGGCAATAACACTCCACTCCTGGACGACCAAAGCTGCCATCGGGGCCATTAAGGAGTTTTTAGCATGTATATGTTTTAAAGAAACTTTCTGATTATCTAACTAAGAAACATTATGATGTAATGTTTAATCCAGAGTACTTAATGAGGCTGAGATAACCAGGGCTTTAATTTTCTTTTATATAATCACAAGTCTTTTTTTTTCTTTTTTCTTTTTTTTTTTTTTAGATTTTTCGAGACAAGGTTTCTCTGTAGCTTTGGAGCCTGTCCTGGCACTAGCTCTTGTAGATCAGGCTGGCCTAGAACTCACAGAGATCCGCCTGCCTCTGCCTCCCGAGTGCTGGGATAAAGAATATAGTTTTAAAACAAATAGGAAAACTGCTCTCTCTAGAAAAAAAAACATAAAGCATTAAAATCAGTAATAAACAAAACAAGATAATATAAACTTCATTAATATAACTTTACTTTGACCCAAACTATTCTGTTCCTCTCAAAGTAACAAGTGGAAAGATGGTAGTTGATCTTCAGAGTACTGATTTTTCCCCTAGCAGGCAACTGTCACTTTGAAATATCCCCTTTCTTCTGTCATTTTTCAATCCCACAGTGTCATTTTTAAACTAAAAATATAACCAATAACTAACTACATAGCCATGCTGTCAGTGCAGCAGGAGAATAACACTATGCTTTTCAACCAGCGTGGAAGGGAACTATTAAAACTTTGCATATGTACAGCATACATTAACTAATATACTTTGTGCTGGGTATTATTGTAAATGTCATATAAATTAATTCACTTAGCTGTCATAATCCAGAAAAAAAATATTATTATTCCCCATTTAAACAGACAAGGAAAGGGAAGCAGAGAAGTTAGTGAAAGTGAGACCTGTGTATACCAGAAACTGGCAGAATACAGCCCTAACAGCCATCATGGCTCCATGGTCTCCACTGTCCTCTCTTCACTTCTCCTTCCGTTTCCCAGTGCTTGGGATGAACCTCAATTTTGCACATGTTAAGTACATATTCTACTAGGTCATATCCCTACCTCTATTCTCTTAGATACACTGAATAAAGATTAAAACGTAACAAACACACACACTTCCAGAATTTTCTGTGAAGTACTGTTGAATGCGTTATACTTTCATTAACCTGAAACCAGAATGCAGTCATTTTAACACATCACCATTCTATTTTTGGTAGTTAGGAATAATACAAAGTAAAAAGGCAAGTTTAAAACATTTGATGTGTTTTAATACACTCCAGCCTTCTGTGGAGGTGCAGAGACCATTTTGCATTCTAATTAGGCATGCCGTGAAGCTCTGCTCAATGCAAAAGCAAGTGCACCATAAGTTAAATTCTATTTTGTATACTTTTCCTTTCTTGCTATACATCAACCTCAGGGTCCCACTCATGAAACCAGATGCTCTTCTACCACTCTTCCATACATCCCTCCAATCTCTAGATCTCTTGATAGCAGTCAAAGACATTTTCTTCAGCTTCGGCTGTTACTGGAGCTCAACGTTGTTTTTTAGAAGCAAAACACAACCGCAGCTATCTGACTATAAGATTTGTAGAGCAGCCTTGTCTCTGAAGAACTTTAAAAGATACTAGCAGTGAGACAGGAATACAGCCTTATGAGCTGAGTGTGGTGGTGCATACCTGTAATTGCAAGGCTGAGGTCAGCTGGAACTTTGATTTTCAAAAACCAGAGGATAAGGATATAGCTCATTTACAAACTTGCCTACTTTATATAAAACTGTGGGCTTCCATCTCCAGTAACATAAACACCAAAGATTCTTATTATTGTTTTCTAATTGACAGTTATGTTAACCAGATGGGACAAGATGGAAAATTGTAAACAATAGTTTTCTGAAATCTTCTTAAAGTATACATTCTTGATTTTCTTTAAAACAGACATGTTCTGCAATTCAGATTTTAACAAGTTATGCAATAGTATGGAGAACTGCTTTATAAGAATATATAATATAATAGACAAAAACAGATTTAAAAATAAACAAGTGACTGCTAGGAGCAAAGACTATAAAAGCAGCTTTCCTCATTGGGGCAGTCTTAGAAGAAGCCTCCTGGACTTGAAAATTCTCTTTACCTTGGGTGTTGATTAGTAGTTTAACATAGAAAACATCTTTTAAGTTCAGATGTCAATCACATTCAAGTCAAGAAAGCTTTTATTCTTGTGCTTACAGATACACAGTGCTACACAAAACTGCCCTGTACAACCTAATACAGTCGCCTAAACAGAACAACTCTTACCATCCACCAAACCATAAGCATTATGCCTTAGTACATCTTTGTACTTAGTCTAAGAAGTCATACTTCCCAGAGTTCCTGATTTCATTCCTTTCTCTTTGGCTAGAGCAGTACTATGCAGATGTAGCCAGTCTCAAGGGTTACTACTAGCATGGCCCTATGGCCAGAGGATGGTTAGGGAGACATCATAGTAAGTCATTATTGACATTTAACAAAGAACTTAAATAACTTTAAAGAATGGATATGGTGTGTGTGTGTGTGTGTGTGTGTGTGTGTGTGTGTGTGTGAGAGAGAGAGAGAGAGAGAGAGAGAGAGAGAGAGAGAGAGGAGGGGGGTGAAGAGGGGAAGAGGAGGAGAGGGGGAGAGGGAGAGAGAGATAGATCACAGAATATAGCACGGCATAAACATAATATTCAGATCAAGTAGTGCTGACCCTGGTAGTATGTAAGAGTTCTTACTCTACTGCAAACATAGTGAGTCCCTCTGCAGGAAGAAATGTGTATGTGGGTAGAATGGTTAGCTAGCTAATTCACTTTGGGTGTCACAAGGGCATCTGAGGCACAGTGAGAATTAAGATTTCTACTTCCGAGTCAGTCTATATACCAGCTCTACCATCTTCACTGTGACCTTCAAAGAACTGGTCATTCTATCTCTTAATTTCCCAATCCACAAATGCACAAAGACCTATGCAGTCTGGGGTACAGAAATGCAGTAAGCACTAAGATACACATGGACTCATCAAATAATAGCCTTCATGTTATTTAACTCAATGTATTTTTTTACAAAATTATTACACCAAAACATCAGTTGAGAACACACTAACCATGAAACAGCAAGTCATAGCCACAAACATCCACATCTATTCATACCAGTGACTATGCATGTATGCATTGTTACTACAAAATAACCCAACTTTCTAACAATCATCTACTTGATAAAATATTTCTACCATTCACAACCAGATGAAGGCACAAAATATCTCAAATTCAAGTTAAAAACAAGAGAACTATACATTGAATGATTCTGTTACCATATTTGTTAAATGGAGAAATATCCATTTATTATTCTGTACTCTGATATATTAGTTAATTATGGAACAAAGGTGACTAATGATAAATGTTTTCCATAGTGTTATTTTGCATTGTCACTCCGAATTCCAGTAATTCTGCTGAAAAGGATACAGATTTCCTCCAGTTTTTCTGCTCTTTGCCTATCAGTAACTAGGATGCCTACCTAAGTAGTCACCTTTGCCTCTGAGGCAAATCTATTACTTTACTGGAGGACCAGCATCTGCCAGTCACTGCTTGTACAGTTTGCCCAGCTTTCTTCATCTGGCAGAAGAGCTGTGGATGCCAGAACTGAAACATGCAACAATCTGACAAAGATCCTCTGTGTATGCAACAGGGGAAAATACAGAATTACACATACAAAATACAATAAAAGTAGAAATGAATGAGGAATAGTAAGGAAGTAGTATACAAGGTGGATAAACAGAAACAAATATCAGAGCTAGTGAAATCTTAACTTTTGGATATTGCTAAGTATGGAATGAGTCTTAATTACATGCTACTGCTGATCCACATTCACAGCCCAGAGGGTTCTAAGGACTGATTGATAGAATCAAAGATCAGGTGGGCTGGGGAGATGGGTCCAGGATAAAACGCTGTAGGATAAGTACAAGGACCAGTCTGGCTCTCCGAACCCATGCAGAGGCTGGAGATGTGTGGTGGCTGTCTATAATCCTGGAACTCAGAAAGCAGAGACGGCATCCTTGAAGCAAAGTGGCTACCCAAAATAACGCAATCAGGGAGTTCTGGGTTCTAAACGGCCTTACCTTAATAAGTAAAGTGGAGATGATAGGGGAAGACAGCCAACGTCAACATTAAGTGTCTAATGATACCCACTCAGCATGCACACATCCACGAGAATACACACATACATACACCAACCACATAAATCATAGCTAGCAAAGTATTTTACTTATTGTACTGCATATCCATTTCAAAATAAGCCTGAAGTTCACTGTCTAATGACTTCATTGTTGCTATGACTGGGTGGGTGGAAGGGAGGGATAAAGGGGGAATTTAAAGATAACTAAGTTCATTATGCTCCCAACTGAGATACATGGAACATTTAGTACACAAAACGCATTGTGCTACAGTGTTATGCAAATATAAACATTTATACATATACTACATTATACACACATGCACGCACGCACGCGCGCACACACACACACACACACACACACCCCTCTTGACACTGGAGAAGGCGTGGCTAGGAAGAGCATCTACAACCTTAATTTACTAAAGCAGCATAATCCGTAGCACTTTATATACACTTGCTCTTATGCCCACACCTAAGCATAGTCTTCACCCCCACCAAAGAAACTGCTCTTTGTAACACACGAAGACCACCTGCACCTAAGGCTGAGGGAACACTGCACAAAAGGGATTTTAAGAGTCCATGGATCAGAGAGTTTGCTGTGAGATTGTATCTCCTAGGAATTTTGGAGGCTATACCACAAAGTCTCACCAACACAACAACATGAGCTGAACAAGGATGACACCAATGACCATGCCACACTGGATGAAGAGATGTCCACGGACCTCAACCCTACACAAAGCCCTAGAGGCAACTGCAGAAAGCTGGGAATGGGAGAGATAACGTCCCCAGGGAAAGAGCACAGGAATAGTTTGTCCAGTGCCAAACACTCAGTTCTGACAACATAACACAAGTAACAGTATACAGACTGGACAGGCTATTTTTAG